AAAGCTTTAAATGCAAATTTTTTAAACTACAGATGTGTAAAGGAGTATGATTATAATAAAAAGTTTTTCCCCTTGCAAAGATATTGTAATGAGTGTAGGAATCAAATGCTTAAAGATAAAAATGAGGTTTTATAACAAATAGGAGCATAACTATCATTTACCCTCTCTCAAGTACATAAAAAACATTAACTAATCTAAAGCTAAGTTTCTGATGGATATAGTTGTGTTGAGTAGATTCTAGCGTCTCACTTCCAGATTACTCACTGTACCCTCTTTATTAGGATCAACCAGGCCTCATGTTCCGAACTAAAGACCAAATTGATTAATGTTCTAGCCCGTCACTCTAGAATCATCAATTCTACACCCATCAAAACTTATCTCCCTATTTATTTGCACCCCCCTTGGACTTGACTCCCCTCCATTATCGCAACGGCTATGCCCAAGGTTTAGTGTGGTACTCATTAGTTGGGTGAAATTATAGCCCTCCCGGATCATAACCCTCCCAGATAATTATGTTTCTCAACAGATTTTAACCTCACAAGTGGCTAGTTTGTAAAGTAAATTAAGAATCGGTGAAAATATCATCACAAATTTATGGAATAAAAAAAATCTTCAAAACATTCTAACCCCACACATGATTACTTCTTATTGCAAGGAGGAAGATAAAAAAACTACTAAGAATTCATGAGGATAACAAAACAAAACATGATATTTATTAAAAATCAAGTTTACAAGACAAAACTTAAACAAAAGTACAAATACTTATCTCAAACTCTTCCCCAAGCAATCCTCTAAAGTTCCCTGATTGATTGACTCCACAAGACTCACACATGACTCAAAAAACACTCACAATCACAAAGATTCTCCACACTCTCACTATGGTGGCCGCCCTCCCCAATGGTGGCCGAAACTACCCAATAACGACTCTCTTTTTGTTTGAAAATGTTTTCTATTTATAAAGTTCTGAAAATCACCAAGGGTCACTTCAGAGACCTTTTCGAAATTCGTCTAAATTCAATGTGTATAAACCCAACTGTTTCTGGTGCCCAGACGCCCAACCGTGACATCTAGGCGTTTGAAATTCTTCTAAATTCAATGTATATAGACAAATAATAAGTTATTAATTCTATTTAATTTGATTGCATTGATGAAAAATATAATTTTATAAATTTGATTTATGAATATAAGTGAATTTGTTGATAGTACAGATGAAGTAATTGAACATGTGAATTTAAATGCTTTTGGGGAGACAAACTTTAGGAATGCGGATTTTGAGGTTGAAATTTTTGGAGAGGCAACATTTGTATGTTTGATTTTATACTATTATTTGTATTGATTTAAAATTTGATATCTACTTTATTTCTTTTGTGCTTCTTGAGAGAGAAGTTTTTGGAGGTTGATATCTATTTTATTCTTTTTTTTTTTTGCTTTTTGAGAGACATTTTTGGGACTATAATACTTGATTGCTACTCTCCATGTAGTAATAATGTATTATGCTTTTATTAATTTATTTTTGTTTTAATTTATAATTACTTTTATTCACATTAAATGATGTATGCTATAATAAATTAATTACTATACATTTATGAAATTGAGTATTCAGTACTTTTTTTTTTATCTTTTATTCATGATATATTTTTTATACTACGCATACTAAGTCATTATTATGTCATTTAAGTTATATTTAATATTTTTTTATATTTATGATGGCAACTGGTTCAACTCCGACTCAACCGCTGAATATTAGACCTCTTCTGCTATTGAAACCCTTTATAATGGATATATAAATACATAATATTTGATTGTGATGTACATATTTTTTTTTCTTTTATTTAATGATATTTGTTGGGAATGTTCTTGACTTTAAAAATAAAATAAAATTCCAATAACAAATAATCCATAATTAGTTTTTCTCATTTTCATGACAAAAGAAAATAATAAACTATTTTTTTTTAACTGCCACCTGGCAGTTTTGTACCGCCTCACATTTCCTTCAGTCAATTAGTCCATGTTCAAAGATTAGCGGGACCCAATGAAGACATTATCGCAACGCTGGTAGGAGAAGTGGGTATGATTGTGACAACGTTGTTTAAATTATAATTGCAGCACTGCACGCAGTGTTTTTTTTTTTTTTTTTCCTTCCTTCTTCTTCTTCTTCTATTCCCCTTGAAATTATTCAACGTTATAAATGTTCTTCTTGAACTTAAGCCACCACAGGGAAAATTATTACGTACGGACCGATCTCTATCATCGATCACCGCAAAGATTTATTTTAGTGGGCCCCATTTTCATTTTTTAAAAAAAGAAAATTTTATTGTGGTGATCGAGATCAGACACCGCATACATTTCTGCATGAAATAATTTCTCCCATCTTGACTTCATAATTTTAAATTATTTTGAGCGCATTAATTATTTTTTTTAATTTTTTTATATATTATAATCAAATTTAGAGAAATTATCATACATATTTATGGATTTATATATTTAATATTTAAATTTGATATTTACATTCATAGCATGTTGGTATCAAAAATCTATACATTAAAGGTGTATTTTATCTTATATTAAAAATATAACTATCACTAATTTTAAATCCATATTTCAAACATAATATTTGAAGGATCTGAGTGATATATATGTAAATATAAAATTTAAGTGAAGGATCTGAGTGATATATATGTAAATATAAAATTTAAGGAGTGAGATATGTAAAAATATATGATTTGTGTGGCATGTATGATATCTAAATGATAGCACACTGGATTTTGTGTATTTTCCACCAATTTTTTATTTTTATTAAATGTATTTGCAATAATAATTAGAATAACTAATTTCTAATTTTAAAATTAATCCATATTTGATTATCTTGGGTCACATCAAATAATTGTTCATTCAAACTATGTTTTTTGAGCTTCCATAAATAAGTCAAGCGAAATTATGGAGGGCATATATGTAAATAAACATAGAAATTAAGTTTATTGTTGGTACCATGGTTTTAAAAATCGCATTGGGTTTGTGGTTCGACCGATTCAACGGTGAACCGATCATTTAGTCGGTTCTGTCCAAACTTAGAATATTTTTTTTTGCATAGAACTGGGATTAAACCAATCCAATTTATTAAATATTAAAAAAAATATTATCTTAAATTAAATAATTTATATATTCATTACGTCCAGTTATACCTCCAATTTAAACAATTGAATTTAATATCTGATACGGTTTTCACAATTTTAGTCGAGGCACGAATAAATATTTATAATTTGAAATAGTAATATATATATATATATATATATTGTATATTTATATAAATATTTTAATAATCTAGTGGGTGTTG